AAATGTAGTTCATATTGTGTTATCGTTTATTTGAACACATTTCACAGCTGTAATAATAATACACATTTATAACTCTACCATAGAAGAGTGTAATATAATAACAGCCACACAATCATGCATTGATAATATTCTAATTCTTGTATTTCATTTTATATATATAGATTTATATTTCGAATACTAATTGGAAAATTCTCCTCCATTATCATTTTTTTTTTGGATTCACACACACACACACACACACACAACATACATACGCAAACAATTTGGTAGATTACATTGTCTTCATTGCAACAATGATGGTGTGTGTGTGTGTGTGTGTGTATATGGGTGTGTGCATGTTTTATGTTTATGTATGATGATGATGATGATGAAGACAATGACAGAGAAAAATCCCTAGGCTATATTAGAATGGACAATGATAAATATTTGTCATATGACAAATATTTTTAGTAGAAAAAAAAACAAACAAACAGAATCTCATTTTGGTTTCATTTTCACTAACCTTATGTGTGAATGAATGAATGAATGAATGCTAACTGTTTGATAGAATTCGGAAGCTTCAAAATCCGCTTTCATTTATCACAATTGTGTTGAAATAAATGTAATCGATACACTGTTTTTTGTTGTTTTTGTATTTGTTGTTTATCCTCAACGATTTCCATCATTTGATGAATTTAGTTTTAATTCGTTTGTGGTTACAATAGTGTATTTTTTTTTTTTTTTTTTTTGGTTTGCTATCCACAATCTCCAATTTTGTTTTCTATTTCCTATATATATAAATAAATTACATGTAAATCTTATGATTGGAAGATTTATTCATTCAATCTAATTGATTGAATGTCGTTTTTGTTGGGGTTTGCTTGGTACTTTTCTTTTTTTTTTACAGAATTGAATTCAAATCAAGAAAGAAAGAAAAAAAAACGATCTGAATACAAAATTCGTCTATTACACTATGTTGCTAAGATCAATACTAAGTACACTAAGTACATCATCATCATCATCATCACTATGTCATGCTAAGATCAATACTAAGTACACTAAGTACATCATCATCATCATCATCATCATCGTTGAGATGAAAAAAAAAACAGAGAGAATAAACATAAAACAATGTAAAATGCACTATTAAAATTGATTCCATTCCATTCTTTTCCATTATTGTTGATGATGATTGTTTTGTTGTTGTTGTTGTTGTTGTTGTTGCAGTTAGTGAAACAAATGCAAACCAAAATAGTATACAAGTTGATTTATTTATAATAAATAATTCAAGAAAAGTTTTCATCATCATTATCATTATACATGTGGTACAATCAAATTCAAACTCAATTCAAAGTTGAAAATAGAAAATTTCTCCATATCATTGGTGTGTGTGTGTGTATGTTTGTGTTTGTGTGCTTGTGAATCTTGAAATCAAATCAAATAAATTTTTCTTGTATTTTTATATTATTCTTATTTTGATAATTTCTTCTCTCTCTCTCTCTCTCTCTCTCTCTCTCTCTCTCTCTCTCTCTCTCAATGTTTCTTATCCGTAGCCTATTGTATCTAGTTTGTTATTATTAAATGGCAAGATGGAAGAAATTATTTTTCTATTTAAATCACTTGCATATGAATCAGAATCAATTTATATTGCTATATTATATGTAACAAGAACATATACAAATTCGTTACAGAACTTAATAAGAATGGAAATTTCCGAAAATCGAAATTTTTTTTTATCTATTTGCTTCTATCATAATAATGTTGTTTGATTGTTTATCAATGATTAAAAGAATTAATGATTTTTTTTCTCATGATTGCACTCACACCATGTGAAACTTATTTTTGACTTTCAATTATTTTTTTTTTTTTTAGCGATAACAAGATTTTCATAATGCCACTATATACACTACCGGTCCTGTCCTGTGTGTGTCTGTTTGTGAGTGCACAACATTATTTGTTGTCTAAGATTGAAGTGATGAATCAAAAGAGACAAAAAAAAAAAGTGAAAATCCATTCATCTATTCACAAAAAAAAAATTTTTTGAAAACAAGATTATTTTTGCAATGTGCATTTTAAAAACGCAGATACACCATATTCAAAGAAAAGAATTTTCATCGATTAAAAAAAATCCCTTCATTCAAAATTCAATTTCAACGAAAGCCTGTTTGAAATTGTTGGAACTTAAAATGTACTGATGAAACAAAAACAAAAAAAAATCTCATCACATGAAACACACACATACACAGGAATGATGACACATTTTCATCCAACGTGTTATCGGAAACAGTTAATAAAAACCAACGTGAAACAAAATCAATGATAAATCACATACATACATACACACACACACACACCTTATCCACCTTCATTAAACAATGATAAAATATGGTGACAAACACCTGAATGGTAATTATGACAGACACATTATCAAAAATTAATAATCAAACCAATGGAGATGAAATCTCGTTGTTTCTGGTTTCGTAAATGATGATGATGATTATTATTATTGGACAGAATGTATGTAGGTATGCGAAAAGAAAATGACATTCAACTTGATTTTTTTTTTTTTTTGTGAGTTTGAGGTCGTTCTTTCATTTAATTTTTTTTTCATTCGAGACAAATGAATGGCTGTCTTTCTCATCATCAAGAATTCAGTCTTTTTTAGCACCAATTGCAATAAAAATCTGCAGAATCCAAATTCTAATTTTCATGATGATTTTGATGAAAGAAAAAAATTTCTTTAGCTCATTAATTCCTTTCATGACACCCAAAAATCATCATATAGAATGTCATTTTTATTCCATGTATGTAAAATATATTTGAATTTTAGAATCAAATAGTAGTGTGATTATTACTACTTTTATCATGATGGTTGATTTACGGATTTAATGATGATGATGATGATTATTATTATTGGACAGAATGTATGTAGGTATGCGAAAGAAAATGACATTCAATTTCATTGCTTTTCTACTTGATTTTTTTTTTTGGTTCTTTCATTTAATTTTTTTTTTGTTCATTCGGACTCTATTTGCTTGTTTTTTTCTCCACATTATTGACAAATGAATGGCTGTCTTTCTCATCATCAAGAATTCAGTCTTTTTTAGCACCAATTGCAATAAAAATCTGCAGAATCCAAATTCTAATTTTCATGATGATTTTGATGAAAGAAAAAAATTTCTTTAGCTCATTAATTCCTTTCATGACAATATAAATGTTCTACGATCATTTCAGCTGGACTGGAAATGTATGAAAGAAAATCAATTTTTCTTTGAAAAATTTTTTTTAGACTAACTAATGCTGTATATAATATGACACACATTTACATGACGATAACTGCATTAACATTTAATTGTCAAATTTTTTTTTCTTCGATCAAAAAATGTGTTTTTTTAAATCATCCATTATGATGATTTTATTAATGTGAATTGTGATGAGCGGAAGTATTAGTAGAAGTAGTGGCTGGATTACTGGCCGATAATGGTGTACGAAACATTGTTTCGACAAAACCTCTTAATGTTTGATAATCGGAAATGGTATCGATCAAATTTTGTAATCCTTTTCTTGTTGTATGATTTGTATCAGCAGCGCGGAATGCTTCACTATTATAAACTTCATTGTAGAAATATTTACACCAATAAATATTGGTCTCAGGAAACCAATCACGCCATTTGTCCACCACTTTGTTATACATTAATTTGTATGCCTCTTCCTGTGAATCAGGATTAGGGGTCGATGCTGTTGCTTTCAAACGATTGGTCAGATCAGTAAAGTACACTTTGTCACCCAAACATATTCGAGAGAATGTTGCATCAATTAAACAGACTTTGACGCCAAAACTCTTGACATTATAGGAAACGGACCGTATGACAAATGTGATAGTTTCTTTTTTCGTTTTTTTCACTAATACATTACAGACATGTAGGTCACGATGTTCAAATTGATAGACACATTCGGCAACAGCTAATGCAAGTGTCACTTGATAACAAATTCCCAACAATTGACAGGGAGTCAATCCAACCGTAGCCCCTGCCGATGTGATTCGATATCGATGTTTGAACAGCTGCCATAATGAATCGCCACAATATTTCATCAATATAGCTAAATGTTCACGAGGTACACCATGTAGATCTTCAAAACGTTCCACTGGTTTTATTTTCATTTCATTTTCATCATATTTACGGATGAGAAAATAATTAGGAATTTCACCATGTACAATCTTTGTACAATAAATTCGTGGAAAACAATGTGTTTGATATTCATACCCATGGGCATCGCATGTTAGATTGTGTAAATCGGACAAAACTTTTGTGATAACTATTTCCTGATATACATCCGAATATTGTTCAAAGCCATTGAATGATAAGGCGTTCAATTTATTCAATGTTGCTTTCTGTACTACTTTGATAATCTATTTTTAAATACACACATATACACATCAATGATGATGATAATAATAAAATAAATTAATATTGTAACGGAAATGTGGCCATCATATGTATGTGTGTTTCAATTTTCTTACCTTGAAGACAATAGGAGTATAATTATATTCAATACCAATAGCTTTGATAACATGACTATAGGTTCCTGAATCAAGATATTCAAAATTCTGAAACGATGTACTAGGAAATTCGATTCCAAAATGTGATGGATTCTTTTGGCAACAAAGTTCCAAAACTTGAAACCAATAATCATCATCATCATTTTCATCATCGGACCGCAACGAAGTTAAACTTATATTCGGTAACAATAATGATTTCTTTCCAATCATCGCTTTTATTTTTGTTTCTTTATTTTCTTTTTCTTTCGTTCTTAGATATTCCAATATAGCGTCGTTGTTATTGGATTCTTTCTTCTCTTTTTTTTTCCGTTCAAACTCTCAAATACAATATCGAATATTTTCGAATACTATTACTCCTACTTATTATTATATTTGAATAAAAACCTAAATGCACACAATACAATGAAAAGGAAAAAATAATAATAATAATAATAATAATAATAGCAAAAGAAAAGACAAACAAGGTTTTAAGGATTGTATTTCCTTCAAGTGTAAAAACTTTACTATATGTTATTATTATTATTTAGTATTAGTATTATTGTTATTGTTGTTGCTATTGGGCAAATTTTTTGTTGTTGTTGTTGTTGTTGTACATTTGGAGACAGAACATTTGAATTAAATTAATTGCAACATGATTAGATTATAGTATATATTGTATTAAATGATGAAGACACAATCTAAAATAACCGAAATTCGTTGATTGTATTTCGATATACATTGTTGGAACATGGAAGAATAAAAGAGAAGAGAGAGAGAGAGAGAGAGAGATTTTTTTTGGTTTGGTTTGGTTTGGTTTAGCTCGGTTCGGTTCTTTTATTATTTTTGTTGTTTGAATTCGTCTTCTCCATTCGAATTAGGTGATGATGATGATGATGGTGAATTGTCGATTGGATTGTTATTATATATTCTTATTTAATTTCAGATGATGATGATGATCATAATCATCATTTTGAAGGAGCTGATAAACAAACACCATCCTTACAGCCATAAAGGCAAGCATCTACTGGACTTGGATGGAATATCATCGATAAACGTGGACAAGTAAAAGTAATGTTTGGACTGCAATCTTTTCCTGTTAATGAATCGCCACAATATGTTTGACCTTTGGTTAATCCTTTGGGACATTCGCATTCAATGTTTTTCAGACATGCATTGCTCACTATAAAATTTGTTGTTATATTCAAAAATAAACATGAAAAATAATAATGACAATTAATAATAAGAATCAAATATTTGATGATCATAATAAAAAGAAATAACGAAATGAAATGAAATGAGATGTAATAAAAGATGGATCAAATAGGAATTCAATAATAAGATAAAAATAAACACCAACATACACACACACAGAATTCCATAGAAATAATTAGTGAAAATGAACTGTGTGTGTGTGTATGTTATATGAGCAAATGGTTTATTCATTCTACAATCCAATGTACACATAGAATCATTCATCAAACGATGAAAAGCATTCATTAAATTTCCATGTATAGAATACTAACATGAACAAAACAAGCAAGGTAGTTTGCTGTAATGAATATATATACAAAAAAAATTGTGAATAGAAAAAAACTTAAAACAACACTTACATAATGTTCGTACATCACATTCTTGGCCTTGTTGACAATCGACCAACAATACAGCCGCTTTGTTATGATTAGTATCACCACAGTAAAACATTTTCTTTGGACAAGAATTTTCTTTATTCAATTCATTCAGCTGTGTTCCACAGTATTCGCCATTTTTTTCCACCGAACAATTACATTGTTCATCGGCAGTATGACCATAATCCAGTTGATCATTGATCAATAAAATGAATGTTGATAAAATGATGCTGATTCGTTTCAATGAAATTGTATTGTATATCCTCATTTTTTTTTCTCTTGTTTCTTATTTTTGTTGTTCTTTTCGATAAGATTGTTGATTCACTTTTCAGGATTGCTTGAATGGTTTCACCTATCCTTCACCACTGTTAGAATACAAATGTTTAATAAGTTTTTTTTTCTACTAATATCTATTATGCCTTTGTATGTGGAAGTTGATTCTGGTTAAGATAATCGACTAAAAAAAACGACGCACTTTAAAAAAGAGTACATGTAGAACATTGACGTAATACAACAGTGAAGAAAAAATTATTGATTAATTCATTATGATTGTTATTATTTGATTTCATTTCATTTCATTATTATTAATTCCCTTCACATAATGTACTTGTAATTTTTTCTGTCAATATTTTTCTCTGCTAATACAATTTTTGTTTTTCATTCAAAATAAAAAAAAACAGCAGCATGTACTGGTATAATTTTCAACTACCATCCATAATTTATTAAGTGACAAAAAAAGATTGTGCAAAAGATTTTATTTTCGTCGAAAATTCCTGATCCATGAATTAGGATCTTATAAAATGTATTCTGTCATTGAAATGTACTCATATATTCATTATATTTTAAACACAATGACCATCACGGCAACCATTCGGACATGCATCGATCGGATTTGGATAACTTCGACCACAAGTAAATACAATAGATGAATTACAATCACGACCACTTAGACGATCACCACAGTATCGGGTACGACCATCAGCTTGAAGATTAGATGGACAATGACAATCAATATCCAAGAGACAAGCGTTACCTAATTGTATGAAAATTGACAGCAAAGAAAAATAAATCATTATCAAAAATATATTTATCATATTTGTCTATTCTATCCTATACGGGGGGTAGGTTAGGTTAGCTTACTGTAGCCTTCACGTTGAACATCACATTCATAACCTTGACGACATTTTTTCACAACAATAGCTTGTCCACGACGATTAGATGGACCACATAGATATTGATCTCGTGTACAATCCTGATTACGATTGATACGATTCAATTCGGTACCACAATATTCTCTTGTACTTGAACCACTACAACGACATACAGCCTCAATAGCGTTTGGTATGGCCACTAATAACAAAAAACAAGAAATCGGAATGATTATTTTGAGCATCATCATCGTTATTTGTGTCATCACTGTTTTCAATTAAAATTTGTTCTACATAATCCTTTAAAAAATACTGAAGCTTTTATAAATAAGTGAAAATTATCTCTCAAATTTGATCGAAGAAAGAAGAAAAAATCATACCAGAGTAACTGTATATATGGTATGAAGTGAAAGTGAAGGGTTTTCTTGGAATAATTGTCAATTAAGGCGGATCAAATATGAAAAATTTATCTTTCATATTTTTCATCTTCTATCGATTGATTCGAAATGTTTTTTTTTCTTCATTTCAGTTCTGCCGATGTTGCCAATTTAGACAGGCTCAGAAAAAAAAACCAGTCAATCGAGCTTGTTTTCAAGATACATGAAGCAATGGATGAAACTAACTTAATAACTACTGTCATTTAAATGTTGTTGTTGTCGTTTTCTTCAAAAATAAAAAAAAATCGATTTTGAAGGTTTCAAAGCAAAGGAAAATAAATTTTATATATGTGAATGTTTGATGTATTTTACAAGGAAAAAAAATTGCTGAATCCAGATTATTGTTTATCGTTAATCAGCGAACCGTCATCATTATCGAAAAAACATTGAAAGCAAACTAAAAACAAGAAAATTGGTAAAAAGAGAGAAAGAAAGAGAGAGAGAGAGAGACATCAAAGCTAAAATTATCATTATTATACTGAGCTTTCTGGTGAAATATGGCGATTTCCTCAAATTAATGTCATCATCATCATCATCATTGTTGCCACCATTTCATGTCCTTCATTTATTTTATCTTTCTTTCAATCTAGCTTTATTGTGTTCTTTTATTATTATTATTATTATTACCGTAGTATCGCGAATATAACCCATAGTACAGGAGGTGTGATTGTGGAATAACCAAAAATGATCATACGAATAAAAATGAAATGAAATGAGTTAATTTGATGCGGGTTATATTATAATATATTCGAGAATCGACGCTTTCATTCATTCTTTTTTCTCGATAATAATAATATGATATAAATTTGTACGAATCAACAAATTCTGTTCGTTTTTTCCATATTTGATGATGTATTTCTGTGTGTGTGTGTGTGTGTGTGTGTGTGTGTGAGTATGGGAATTCATGTTCTTATTAGAATTCATTTATTGGCTAAAACTAGAATAATAATCGAATATAATATGGAATAGAAAATGAGAAAAATTGGTTGTGTTGGCAAATTCAACAAACAGGACAAGGAATCTTACTAGCCAATGGCATAACATTACAGAATGCACACAACAGAATTTCCAAACGTAATCGAATGTTGAAATGAACACATTTAAAGCAATGACAACAGCAAAATAGTTATGGCTACACACACCTGGGCGTCCAAATATTACAATCTGATTTGTATGATGAGATTCAATTCAATATATAATAATAATGCAATATTGTTGCAATACCAGAAAAAAATGATGATTTAGTTATATGTCCATTTCTGTAAAAATGTAACAAATTCTTACAATGCACAAAATCAGCATATGAAAGCATGGAATTAAGTCCAATTTATTAGTTATTCTGTCAGCATTATTCAGTGCAAATTCTCTCATTCATCTATAGTATTTTGTATTCTCTCTCTCTTTCTCTTTTATATCTTTTCTTATTCACTATCACTTTATTACTTAGTAGTTTTGGATGTTTGATTTTAGGTTTAATTTCGCTTCTATAATAATAATAATATTTTCTGACAAAATTGCACAAAAAAAATTACAATAAACATCATAGAAAATTTAACAAGAAAGACCAATTAACTTGCCATTTCAGTTGAATTGTGATGAATGAAAATGATTGTACGGTAAGCCTATACTGATGCATGTTTTTATAATACATGGCTATATTTCGATAAAATAATATGGTTGGCTGTAACATTGATCCATCCATCTATCTAGTTATTTATTTCTTCTTTTTTTTTGGTGAAAAAAAAGATTTAATTTGTATTAACTAGATTCCATAATAATGATGATGATACAAAAAAAAATTCTATTTACTATGCTTTGTCGATAATAAAAATTTTTCAATAATAACATTCTGATTCTATAATTTCAACAAGAATGAATGAAGAATATTTTTCATTCATTCATTTTTTTTTCATTATCCATGAATAAATTTAATTTTTGTTTGAGCATGATAATAATGATATTGGTGGATAAATTGTCATCAATGTGAAAAGTTGCTGAAAGATTCATTTCATTCCATTTTTTATTTATTCTCATATAATGAAAAGTCAACTTTTATATATATTCCACTTTTTTTACTTCTATTTCTAAATGAGAAAAAAAAATTCAGTGTATATTTTCTCCACATTCATACATTTGAAATTTGCATTCATACTGAGAAAAAGAATTATATATTCAGTTTGAATAATAGAAAAGCAAACTAAATGAATGAAGTAAAAGTGAGGGTTGTGTTATCAAAAAAAAGGTTTTTAATTAAAAATTAAGTTGTATCCGTTTTTGTATTTTACGGTCAAAATCGACGTCGACGATGAAAGAGAGAGAGAGAGAGAGAGAGAAGGAAAAATTCACATAATCACAAAATGAAAGAATAAAACAAAATGTGCATGAAATTCTCTATATCAGCGTTTCCCAAACTATTTCGGCCGAAGACCAGTATTAGCAGCAAAATTTTTCAGTTGACCACTTTTGTTTCAGAAAAACATAAAAATAAAAATTAGTGATTGGGCAATTGTCGAAAAAGCATTTTAGTCAAGAGAAATACGAATTTTAAGTGAAATTTTTAAGGAATTATGCAAAAAAAAACAACGACAAATTTCAATGACAATTTCCTACATGAGAAGATATGAAAATAGAAAAAAAAATTTCTTTAACAGTAAACATTATGGAATAAAAAAAAATTCAACCATCTAAGATACAGTATACGACCATAGAATATAAGAATAATAAAATTTATATTAATTAACCAGGTTTTTCCATCATCATTTCTATTTTGGTTTTGTTTCATCGTGCAAAGCGAAAAAAATGTTATTCGTTGAAAAAAAATTGTAGTTGTTTTTTTCTGATACTCTTATATAATTAAATTTATCATTATCAAAAGTCAGATGATGTCGTTTTGTGTGTGGGTGTGAGTGTGAAAAAAAATCTACTCTCTTAATGTCGTTATATTCTCAAAGAATTGATGATGATGATGATGATGATGATGGTGGTGGTGAGAATGGTGAAAAACAAAAACTAAAAACAACCAAAAAAAAAAAAAAAAATCACCATCATCTATTAAATAACTTTTATTATTAGAATTCGTAAGGGCCATATCATTGTCATTTGCAATGATCAATATAAATAAAAATAAATTCTATGTATTGGCAATTATTATTTTTTGTATCATTTGTTAATGTTCAACAAATACACGATTTATCTATGAGACGAAAACAAAACAAAAAAAAATTTTTGGTAACAAAATGATGATAATGAAAATAATTTCAAAACAAAATGTGAAACAACAACAACAACAACAAAAGAAATCAAAATAAATAGACATGAAAACATTTTGACTTGACAAAAATGATAATAATAATAATAATAATAATACTGCTACTAAGGGGGAAAAAAACTCGAACTTTTCCAAATTCTCTGCACTACATTATTCGTTTATATTGAAAGTTTATTAACATTAAACGAAAAATACGAAAATTAGATGGCAACCAAAAAAAAAAAAAAAAAAAAATCAGTCAATGAACAAGTAGGCAAGATAAAATAATGACGGTTAATTAAATTCTTCATGCCCAAGTTTTTGTTGTTGTTGTTGCTTCACCAACAACAAACAATGGCTCTTTTTTTTGCCTGATTTTGTTTCGTGGGTTTTCAAATACTTTTCTTATGAACAGGAGATTCCACTTTTATACTTTTATTAAACAATAATGACAACAACAATCACCATCAATGAAACATTGACAAACATAAATACAAACACACACACACACACACACACACACAAAAACAAAATATACCAGACCAATCGACCGACAAACAAATGACAAGAAAAAATTCAAGAAATGTCATTCTGAAATAAAAAAAAACCTAAGAAATGAAAACATATATCAAAACAATTCACTTCAAAAACGATTCAAGTGTAACAATGTAACGGATTCTCTCTCTCTCGCTTTTTTTTTGGTAGGACTTAAATAAACAATATTTTCTCCCATTATTATTATTATTATTATTATTTGTCCCAATATATGTGATATATGTTGAACGTTACACATGCATATCACATCACATCAAGTGTGTTTCAAGCGGAAAACGGTTTCATCAATTTTGACCCCCATCACCATCACCATCACCATCACTACCACCCATAGCTTTTTAACATAAGAGCAACAAAAAAAAGAACCATAGTTATTATACAGTTTCTCAGTTTTGTTTGTTACGTTAGATTAGATTTTATTCCAAAAACTAAAAAAAAAAAGAAAAAATAAATAAATTAAAGCAGTATTATAAATAAAAGCACAAAAGAAAAACAACAAAATTGGCAAATAAAAAACAAGACCAGTATATATAAAACAACATTCAACAAACAACAACAACAACGACATGAATGAATAAAAATAAAAAAAAAGAATAACAACAATAAAAACAACCAAAATTGTGAAGAATTTTTCCATATGAAAAACGAAGCCAATTACACACGTGTTTCAGCATTGTTCGTAGCTTGTCATTTGTTTTCAAAATTTTTCTTTTCTATCTATGAATAAAATTTGACGGAGAAACAAAAATATGAAAGAATTTCAATCAGAGAGGTAAAATTTGTTCAAGCGTGATTCATCGAATGAAAAGAAATTTGATTAAAATGATTTTGTTGTTGTTGTTGTTGGTAGCTAGTTAAGTTTGTTGTGGTTTTTCTTTGCCTATTTATTCATAATTCTATTCAACAGGAAGAGTTGACGAGAGAAAAAAAAGAATAAAACCAGAATAAAAATAAAATCATGACATTTTTCAGAAAAAAATTTAAGAATAAAAAAAACAACATCCATTGTTGATCGTTTCCTCGGTCTGAGAACGGTTGGTGGATGTCATATGCACACACGCAAACA